ATCATCTTGTCTTTATTTTTAGTTAGCACAGACCTTACACACTTAAAGCTGTAAGCTAGTGATAGTTATATAAGAGCAGATGCTGCTGGTGCAATAAGCTGTACTTTTACGTCCAATGGATGATGATCTGATTAGTCGACTATCAAAATAGTCGTTTGTGGCAGCCTTAATGATAAATCGACTAGTTACTGCATGTCAATTATTTTTATGGTACTTTATATTAAAAATGAGCATTAAAATCATTAAAATATCAAATGACAAGAACATAGCTGTATTGTATGTATTATTGTATGTAATGTTTGGCATAATAAGTATAAGCAGATTTAAAATGACTTTAGGTTAATAAGTTGAAATGAGCCTCAAACAGCCAAATATTGATCACGTCTTATTGTTTTTATATTTACGTCATCGTTCGGTTCTTAACTTCATTGTGGTCTTTGTTTATTTGATGAATCGTTTTTAAAGAGTCTCAGAGACCAAAAAACCTGGGTTTGGTTGTTTTTGCTCGCTGATGAGGAGCTGCGAGTCTGAAAACAAGGCGTGAACTCACAGACCGAATCAAATCGATGCCCCCCACCCCAACCCCCCGGCTTTATCCCAGCACCCCCACTCTGCCCAGTGCTCCCAGTGCAGCCGCGGTCAGCCTGCACACAGGCAGCACCGAGCCAGCCTGCTGAATTAGAGGTGATTATATCGCTGTGTGTGTGTCTGTGTGTGCGCCTGTGTGTGGCTGTAAAGCCTCTGCGACAGACTGCCGTTTTGTTACATAACCAGTTTTACACTAAATCAGCCTCGGCGCTCACCAGGAGAGGAAATGACCTCCAACCTGTGCTACCACTAATCGCTAACAGGAAGTTAGTCTACAGGTAAAAACCCAAACACCCTAAAAGTGTTAGAGCGGGCGATACGATTGGTTTTCTTTGTTTCACCTGTTTGCTGGTCAGCTTTGGAGTTTTCATTAATCACTCTGTCATCACCTGTAGGCCCGGAGCTCCGCCCACTTCATTATTTTTAAGCCTGAGAAAAGAATTGTGTCTGACAAAGACCTCACTAGTCGGCCTCAGCTCAGGATTTATCAGATAACTCAAACTTGTGTCCCTCACTGACTCACAGGCTGGAGCCTCCGATGGACGTTAGAGGAACTGCAGCCTGGATGTCCACAGCGCAGCGACCCTCAGTGCCTCGGTGTGTCTCAGTGCACTGGAGCCGCTTTCATTGAGAAAAATGTCTTGGATTGAATAATAGCTGTAGCGCCACCTGCTGGTTTACCTGCTGGTTTACCTGCTGGTTTACCTGCTGTATGTATTTGCCATACAGCAGGTTTGGGAGAACCGGATTAGAGATCGTGCAGCATGAACGTGTCGTTTGGTCCTCGTCACATTTTAGTTTTCTGCGCAGGAAGTGAGGCGAGTCGTTCGGAGTTTCACTCGAGTTTCACTTGAGCTCCATGAGCTCCTCGCTGCCTCTCAGCCTGCCTTTTGCTCTTATTCTTTTCCTTTAAATGACATTTCACTGCCGCAGAGGCAGTCGAATGATCCAGGCTGTTAGTTTGCACTCACCACGCTAAAATCATTTGAACCCTCTTAGATCATAAACAAAGCTGTACGTGTTGTAAGGCAGAAATCACAGCAGTGGTTTGTTGATGATGCAGCCCACGCTGTTTGCTTCACTCCAACCCTCTAACCCTCTAACCCTCTGGCTTACAGCCAGACAGAGAACACCTCTGACCTCAGCGAGGTGAATTCAAACGCCCGCCTGAGTCTGTGCTCAGTTGGACTTTATGAAACCGGTCTCAGTTCTGAACCTGTCATGGCTCCTTTGGAAAAGTGTCCACACGGAGACTCGGTCCTGCACAGAAACACCCGCAGACAGACGGCGTAATCCTGACCAGACAGACGCATCTGATCAGGCTAATCCCTCCTCACCTCCCTCTGCTCTGACCTGCAGATTAACACAGGCACACACACACGGACACACACCACTTCAGAAGGCACTGCGTTGTGTAACCCTTTCCTAACCCAAACCCTGCTCCAAACCTTTGCATTGATCCTTCGAACCAGGAGGTTGGTGAGGGTGGTGCTGGTCGTGTGAGGCGTGCTGGCGAGCGCGTGCTGGCGAGCGCGTGCTGAGCTCAGTGAGCTGTTGAACATGCACACCATGTGACTCATAACCTGTGTGAGTGTTTGGCTTTAGTGGGCAGTTTGCATGGAAACAGCCGAGGCTAAAGAGGGAAACGCTTCAGGAGCATCGCTCCGCCCGCCGGAACGCCCATCGAGTCTGACAGTTAATGATTAAATGTGCGAACCCGCCTGGCTGTGGCACATCTGTTTCACAAGAGCGCTGCGTAGGAGAGGAAACGGCCTCCTAGACGCCGACTCACAGATCTACGCCTTTGAGGTCTGAGCAAACTGAACCCCGCCTGAGGCAGCACAGCAGCTCATTTTCAGGCTCAAAGGTCAAAGGTGAAGCCTGGGTCTGGTTTAACCAATGAGGACGTGATCAGAATCAAAGCTCAAGTCTGGACAGGGTGGTGTTAAAGGTCATTAGGCCCAAATCTGAGCCCGTTTCCCTTATCGACCTGGCTCCACCTCTTTCTGTGTCTCATGTCTGGTTTTCTAACATCTGTATATCTTCACATCTGCGTCTGTCTTAATCTTGCGTGGGGGAACAATACCGAGAGTGAGCGAGGGAGGTGTGGGCAGGAGTAGAGAGGGGGTGACTGCAGTGAGGAGGAGGATTCCTCATTACAGCATCTGCACTGCACAGGCCTAACATTATCTCAGTCTGGGGTCTTAGAGGAGCTTCACAGGCCAGTTATTACAGAGTAATGGCAGCCTTGCAGCCTGTCATTACCCAGCACACCTTCATGTCTCTGCTCCTGCAGTTTGCACACAGCTCGGGCCCTGCTGCGCTTCTGCTGATGTCATCAGTAACCGTGCACGTGTTTTAAATCCAGAGGGTGTTACACGTCCGCTGAGGCCCTGCTGGGCTTTAAACAGCAGGAAGTGTTTTACTGTCATTTAGATTTAAGTGTTAACGTCTAATGGAATCAAACGCACGCTCACAAGCTCATCAAATGGAGCTGCAGAATAAAGCAGGGTTTGGTATCAGGGGTCGAGGCGATGGATGCACACAAAGTTTTACAGGTTTCTGTTGTGGTGAAATACTTCCTGTGAGCTTTGGGGACGTCACAGCACCTCGAACTGCTTTACAGCACCCTTTGTGTTGATGTGTTGGAGCTGGGCGCTGCTCTCGGGACATTTCAGTTTCTTCATCCTCCCAGGCTCAATCGGTCCACACAGAATATCAGAGACGTTTGTCTCTGCGTTTGATGAGCAAAAGGTTGGGTGTGTGTGAGGATGGGGGAGTCAGGCAGAGCATGAACGAGCGCGACGGTAAATAAAGTCCTCCTCTAAAGCCTCCCTGTCCTCTTTCTCTCCAGCAGGTATGTTCCGATTGGCTGCCTGCACTCGACCTCTGACCTCTGACCTGAGTGTGTGTCCGACCTCAGCCCCGTGGCCACGGCGATGAGGATGACCTGCTCTTGCTGATGTTTGAAGGGTGGATAGAAGGGCAGGAATCCTGCGATTACACAGCAGAGGGTTTTGGGAATACTGGGAATTGCGCGTGTGGAATATTCAGCCTGTAAACAGATGCTCATCAAGAATGTGAAGCCTTTTATTCCCTGAAATACCGAAGTGTGAAATTTTAGATAACTGATACATGTCAAACGTTCAGATGATTTATTGTTTTTTTACATTTTATTGGATGCTAACGTTCCTGTTTGACTTCACGTTCTTCGTTTCTGGATATTTTTATCTGCCTCCCTCTTGGCTGGAGGAAATGGATCAATCTGCACTGAAGCGAGAATACGCGACAGGAAGTTGATCCCTACAGGGAGCGAAGACTAGAACAAACTGGGAATATGTCGTGGAAGAGGAACTACTTTGCATCAGGCAGCAGTGGAAGTGGTGTCAGCGGAGGAGGAGGAGGTGGGGCTGGGACGCAGGGAATCCTGACACCTCGCACCATGACGTCCATCGCTCCCAGCAAAGGGCTGAGCAACGAGCCGGGACAGAACAGCTGCTTCCTGAACAGCGCTCTGCAGGTACCGCCTCACACTCTGACCTTTGGCCCCAGCTTTCAGGCTCACACACACACTAGAGGTGGGAATCACCATACATCCCACGATACGATATTATTGCAATTTTTAAAAAATATTTTGCGATATTCAGATTCTGTACATAAAGTTAAACTTTATCAATATTCATTTTCTCTAATAACAAAGTCTCGCACTCAGTCTTTCTCTCATTTCAGTTTTATTGTTGACAAACTGAACGGTTTGTATTACAGTCTAGTCCAACTGAACTGAATGCAACCATCTGGTACAATTACAGCTACTCTGAACTATGCAATATGAAAACTATGCAGCCCCTTCAGCAACTGAAGAATTTGAAAGTAAATTAAAACAAAATATAATTTTACATTTCAATAAAAAAAGTTTTAAACTTAATTAAAATAAAACATGTCTTAAATTAAAATCAGTAAACTGTCATGTTTATTGCTGCCAAAAAACAAGTTAAACACATTTGGACAGTGTCAGGATTGTTGCTCAGAAAAAGGATCAACGTGCTCTGAAGTCAGAGCACAAAAACCTTTTTTGTAACAAAATATCGGTTTCTGCCGTCCCTGTATCGATACATTATTAGCAAACAAAATATCACGATGCTACACAGTATCGATTTTTTCCCCCACCCCTAACACACACACACACACACACACACACACTGACATTATCAGAGCACTGTATTAATCCTGTGAAAATGTTAACATAGAAAGTATAAGCTGTTAAAAGGAGTATCATTTATATTCGTATTGTACTTTGTGTTGTTAGTCTGTTTCGAACGCGCTCACTGTGACTGAGAATCTTGAGCCTTTATATAAAAAGTGCAGTTTACTTAATATTCTGAGCTAAACAGTACGTGTTTATGCCCAGTTTAAAACAGCTGAGTGTCACAGGGGTATTGGGATGAGTCTGTTTGGAAGTTTGGGAAATTTACATCATTTCAGATCTCCTCAAGGACGTCTGATACGTCCCTGTTATTTTAGCTTTGCACAACAGATAGGTGTGTGTGTGTGTGTGTGTGTGTGTGTTACTTTCTGTGGAATCAGTGACTCAGAAGTCAGATGTTTCCTATGTGTAACGCTTATTTTCAACAGCATTAAATTACAAAACGAGCTGCTCAGACAGCGCTGAGCTCTGTGCGTCTCTCTCACACACACACACACACACGTCCAGAAGGTACAAAGACTTAATTCTTCAAATAATTCTAATTTTTACAGAGTCAGTAATTGCAGGCCTCACATTTTTTCACAACTTATGCTTAATAGAGACTGTGATGATGATGATTATTATTGTTGTTATTGTTGGTCTTGTGCAGGAAAAGAAACTCGGGAAAACACCTGTTGAGTTTAAAGGCCGCGTTGAAGAGCTGAAACACATGCGTCGCTGTCATCTCACAGCAAGAAGGTCCTGGGTTTACGCCACCATGTGGGCGGGGCCTTTCTGTGTAGAGTTTGTGTGTTCTCCCACAGTCCAAACATGTGCAGTTAGTGGGGTTAGGTTAACTGGTGACTTCAAATTGCCTGTAAGTGTGAATGGTTGTCTGTCTCTCTGTGTTAGCCCCATGACACACTGTCCATGGTGATGGCCCCAATAAAGACAAGTGGAAGAGGACAGATGGATGGATGGACGGACGGACGGATGATGGATGGCTGGATGGATGGATGGATGGACAGACACACGGTTGGTTGGATGGTTGGATGGATGGACAGACAGACGGTTGGATGGATGGTTGGATGGACGGACAGACAGATGGTTGGTTGGATGGACGGACAGACAGATGGTTGGTTGGATGGACAGACAGACAGATGGTTGGATGGATAGATGGACAGACAGATGGTTGGATGGATAGCTGGACAGACAGACGGTTGGATGGATAGATGGACAGACAGAATGTTGGTTGGTTGGATGGACGGACAGATGATTGGTTGGATGGTTGGATGGATGGATGGACAGACAGATGGTTGGATGGATGGTTGGTTGGTTGGATGGATGGACAGACAGATGGTTGGATGGACGGTTGGTTGGATGGACAGATGGTTGGATGGATGGACAGACAGACGGTTGGTTGGATGGATGGATGGACAGACAGATGGTTGGATGGACGGTTGGTTGGATGGATAGATGGATAGTTGGATGGATGGACAGACAGATGGTTGGATGGATGGATGGATGGATGGATGGATGGATGGACAGATGGTTGGATGGATGGACAGATGGTTGGATGGATGGACAGATGGTTGGATGGATGGACAGATGGTTGGATGGATGGACAGACGGATGGATGGATGGTTGGATGGATGGATGGATGGATGGATGGACGGACGGATGGATGGATGGATGGATGGACGGACGGATGGATGGATGGATGGATGGATGGACGGACGGATGAATGGTTGGATGGATGGACAGACAGATGGTTGGATGGATGGACAGACGGATGGTTGGATGGATGGACAGACGGATGGTTGGATGGATGGACAGACGGATGGTTGGATGGATGGACAGACAGATGGTTGGTCTTTAAATGCCTTTATTCGACTTCATAATCTGCTGAATTAAAGATGTTGTACATGTTTGCGCCGTCTCAGATGCTCGTGTGAGGTTTGTGTGTTTTCGGTGTTTCTTCTGTAATAACAGTCTGAACGGTGCTCATTACTGAATGACCTCTAAGCTCTAAATGCATGATGGCGCTGGCGGTGGTTTGGTTTAACCCTGTGTGAGTCAGCGCGTGTCCTCCAGACGAGCCGTTCGCCGTCCCGTCATGACGCCCTGTCTCTTAAAATGCTCGCCGCTGCACAGCCTCGCACTTTGGCCGCAGTGCCTTTGAGCCAGTCAGCTGGCACTGCAGCAGGTAAACAACACGGGTCCGCCGTCCGACACACCCTCTCTAATAACAGCCCGGCTGATCTGCGCCGCTTCTTTGAGTGAGGCTGTAATGAATGCGTGCAGCAGCGTCGCCTCCCAGACTGAAGGCAGCGCTCGTTAATGACTCATCGGGAGGGGGAGGGTGGAGGAGGAGGTTGGAGGAGGGAGGGTGGTAATTATCGGTGTAAACAGGCTGACTCATTAACCCCTCGTGGTGAGGCTGGCGGTCTGTGCTGCTGAAGTAACGCCGCTCGTTATGAGCTTAGAGGCTGAGCGGCACAGGTCAGAGGTCACCACACAAACACACGCACCTTTGCAGGTGTGCGACATCATGTGAACAAAGCTGCTGCTCATCATTATATTCCGGTTTCTCACACACCCATGAGTCCCAGAATTCCGATCGGCAAAACTGGAGCTCCGACTTCTTGGATCAACATCAAAGAGTCTGAGGTAACGACCTGCCTCAGGTGTCCGTCCGACCATGAACACATGGTCTCCTGACTCCTGCACCTTTTGGACCCTGCAGCTGTCCGTCCGCCCGGTCACGTCAAACCGTAACGGATCAAACGGAGCGAGCCTGTGGGGCGCCGCGCCGAGCTGAGTAGGTGGCGGATCGGAGAGACATCAGTACTGACGGGATGCACAGAGGCTTCGATGTGATGAAGGCAAAGTGAAGAGGAAGAAGATCGCAGTAACAAGCAGCTGCTCACACTCTATCAATATCATCATCCTCCTGCCGCTGCTGCTGCTCAGAACATCCACCTCTCCAAGAAAGCCTCGCACACTCTGACTTTATTTTACTTTGGTCACTCACGTGTGAGTTGATGTTATCATGCATGTGTAGTATGAGCAGCACAGGTGTAAGAACACTGCATGTAAAACACCACAGAGCTCATTTTTTAAAGGCTTCAGGCTGCAAACATCAAACTTCTTCAGTTGTTGATCCTGGAAATTCAGTGAATCTGTCCCCATTGACTCCAATGTTAAATCTTTCCAGCATTCATAACCTGATACGCACACTGATTGTTCTCTAGCGATAATTCCCCCTCACAGCATGTGTTTAAATTGTATTAAAGTTAGTATTATTAGGGGCGTGGCCTCTTTGGCTGACAGGTGGATGGTGACACAGGTGGCTGTAGCTGCTAGCTGTCTGCTAGCTTCACCTGAACTGGACCTCTGGACTGTGTTTGTGCTGTTTTTTGATGGCCTCATCAGTAAAATGCTGCTGTGATGTCACTGTACTAACGGACCGAGGGAGCATCTCAGATTTTGATTGGATGTTCCTGATTATCAGCTGAGTGTCGCTCCCGTAGAGTCTGTGGTGGACCCTTTGTGTTTGCGTGTTGTTTGTCCTGCAGGTTTCCGTTTGGGCTTTGATTTAAGTGACGACTGCGGCTCGTCCGGTTGATCTTTGTGCTCAGGTGTTGATGTTTCCTCCTGCTGCGTCCTGCAGGCTGATTTCATCCTTTCAAAGCAAAAAAAGCGCTAAACGCTGATTCCTCTGTGGGACGTGTGCTCGGCGTGCAGATCTGCACAGACGGTTTGTTACCTGGTCGACCTGCTGGAGGCCGCAGCGACATATTGCAGCCGGCGGGGGGGCGGGGACAGGAAGGAGGAAGCAAACGACCAAATGCTGACGCCGCAGTTTGTTTCACTGAGGACTCAGGTCCAAGCGTGAATCAGATCAGCGCCTCTCCGTCTGCTTTTAAGCCCCAGCATCACGTCTGAATCGTCCTGATCAGCACATTTCTGTTCACCCCGTGTCGGTGTAATAGACACCCGGCTGTGTGCTTCAAACACACCAGCATTTGTCTGCAGCACGAGTTTGTTCTGATGATAATTTCCTGCGTTAGTGTGAAATGTTTCATGAAGGGATTCAGCTCACTGTGAATGAAAGTAAGTCATCCATGTTCTCGCAGGCTGTTTGATGTGAAGTCTGCAGGTCGTGAGGTTGTGAATGGATCAGATCACCGTGTCGACACCTCCATCAGGGACTGTCTTTAAATGTAAACCCTGCAAGTTTAAAGCATAGTAATGGTTAAACCGTGGTTATGGTTGGTTCACTGTTTCAGATGGCTGAGTGGTTAGGCCTGGCTGTTTCTGCTCCTCTATCACGAGCTCAGCTGGGATCTTTCTGCGGTTGGCGGCTCGGTGCCGGCCCCGGCTGCAGGCACGTCTCAGTCACTGAGACAAACACAAACACACACTGCAGGATTCAGAACTGTCCGACCCTCCGGGCCCCCGCGGATCGTTTTAAAACCCTCCTCATGAGTAAAGTGATGAAAAAATTCCTCCGTGTCTGGATTCCTGCTGCTCGGCGGGAGGCGAGGCGCCCGGCTTCTCCGCGGGGTTCAGCTAACGCGGCGTAATGCCCCTTTAACCCACGCCGGCCCTCACGGCTGCTCCGGTCTCAGTCTGGTGAGTTTTGGTGTAGCTCCGCCCTTATCCACCCGGCGAGTCCTGATGTCTTTCCTCCGGCTCTGACACGTTTGCTTCGATGGTTTCTGGTCTCGGCTTAAATCCTCAGAGCCGTCTTTAGCTTCTGCTCCACTAATTCAGTTTCCTGTCAGTGTTTGTTTCTGTGTGATATCAACAGAGGTTTTAATTCGTCTTAGCTCTGATGTGGTGAAGGTGCAGAAACCCCAGCATTCAAATTAAAGCGTGTATTTCACAGACTTTGTGTGCAGCGTGAGGCACTTTCTTACATTAAATATTACATAATTCAGTTTGCAGTTTCTGCTCTGCAAACATTTTATTTACGAGATCGTCTCTGGAGGCGAGAAGCGGCTCTGTGGTGAGCGGCGGCGAGCCAGCTGGTGAGGAAAAGACAAAATGGTAAAAGCTGTGCTGACTGAACTTTCAAAATAAGAGCCAAAAATAAACTAAATGTGTGGTGTTGTGGAAAATCAGTTGCAGATGGTGTTGTTCTCGCAGACAGATTAAAAAGATGAGTCTCCCAGGCGGCCCGCCCACCGCTCTCTGGTTGTTTTTCTTGGTGTCTTCAGGTGATTGTTGACTGAAAGAATGTTTTTAAAGACGCGCCCGCCGTCTCGAGTGTGTCCTGCAGGTGATTCACACCTGATGACTGATCCTGGTCAGCGTGAGTCACTGAGATCTGCTAAACGAGCTTTTATAAAGTCTGCAGTGAAACTGAGCAGCGAGCTGATGTTTGCTGTCTGTGACACGTGCAGCGTCGTGTTTTCTCTTCCTGTCAGTCATGCGCACACATACAGCTGCAGCAGTTTGTCCTCTGGGCACGCTCACGCCAGCTCCCATCATCGCGCCGCAGACGTCTTCATCACGTGGTGCAGACGGTTTCCTGCAGCAGACGGAGATGCTGACGAACTTGGTCTGACACACAGACTTTACTTTTACTTCTGCAACTCCTCAGGTCACTAAGCCCGCTCTCTGATTGGTCAGGACAGCATTGGCTGTTGGTTCGTGCTGACAGGTGATTGGCTGACAGGTGTGGCGATGTGTTTGTTGGAGTTAGAGCAGCAGCACAGAGACACACCGTCAGTAAGGACTTGTGCTGCTGAGGTGAAGCTCTGACTCCGTTTCCCAGAATGCTCCCCTGCGTTGTTTCGTTTTAAAACTTGTTTTTCCTCCTCTCAGGTCCTCTGGCACCTCGACATCTTCCGCCGCAGTTTCCGTCAGCTGACCACCCATAAGTGCATGGAGGACTCGTGCATTTTCTGCGCTCTGAAGGTGAGAACGTCTCCAAACCTGACCCTCAACCCCTGACCCCGGTCCCTCCTCTCACTGACCCCTGACCTCTCCATTCCACAGAGCATCTTTGCTCAGTTCCAGTACAGCAGCGACAAAGTTTTGCCGTCCGACGCGCTCCGCAGCGCGCTCGCCAAAACCTTCCAGGACAAGCAGCGGTTTCAGCTCGGCATCATGGACGACGCTGCGGAGTGCTTCGTAAGACGATGACACACAAACTCTGGAGGCGCTGCAGCGCTTGATCAGTGTTACAGTAGAGATTACACTTTGACCAATCAGAACCAGCGTTTCAGTAGCTCGGGCGTGCCCGCGGGCCCTCGCCGCGTTCACTCGATTATCTAAGCTCAGGCTTCACTTCTGCGTCTGTGCAGGAAAACATCCTGATGAGGATCCACTTCCACATCGCAGACGAGACCAAAGAAGACATCTGCACAGCCAGACACTGCATCCCCCACCAGAAGTTCGCCATGATGCTCTATGAGCAGGTGAGGAAGAAACTCTGGGATCACAGAGAGGGTTTCACCAGTCAGTCAGGTGCAATGACTGTAAAACCAGTTAAAAACCAGTAACATTCATTTTCTTTTTATTAACGAGTCGCTTTAAAACAATCATCTGTCACTGGTTTACCTGCTGCTTCACACACCTGCAGGTGGCTTCATTTCCTAACTTTACCTGATACTTTACTTTTGTACTTTGACTGTATGAGCATGAAGAGTCAACACACACACACAGACACACACACAGACACACAGACACA